TCATTTTTGTCGTCACCAGGTGTTTGAGCATCACCCGTTTCTCACCCACCGGTAACTACGTTGACCGTCTTTTCTGTCTACAGCCCCTTCATTGAATCATGTTCTTCTTTATCCTTTGAGAAACACAAACGACTGATTTTCAGCCACAAGCAGTGCGCTTTCATTTTGAACTGGGTTACAGACTACTAGTATTTCTGCTTCTACCACTACTACTACAGACTGGTGGCCACAGCGGATAATGGCTTGAAGTCTTTTCTAACTTCTTTTTGGCCTAATAGTGGCAATTGCACTTGTCTTAGTTGCAGATCTGCTCCTTACCGTGTTGACATGCGAAGTGGGTCTTACACCGAACGGGAAGATGCGAGTTAAAACGGCGTTAGCTAGAATCTCCCAGGTTAGTGCCGTGCATGCGGGTAGCTTAATGTGTGTTTTTTGATTGCAGGAAGTTGCAGATCTAGCAGTGGTAATTGCTGCATGCCTTCACCACCTTCGCTATTCGAATTTTCGAATGTAACGAGTTTCTCCTTCAATTCTTTCTCGTATTCAATCTACCTGACCTCTTCTGCATTTGTCACGAAGTTCACTGCACATGCACACACGCACACACACCAGCGCTTGTGCGTGCACGTGTGCGTGCATGCATGTGTGCGCACACTTCCTCAATCTAGTCTGGGTCCTTGACGGTACAGGACTGCATGAGGAAGCCCCTGGTCTAACCCCTCATCTCCCACCACCTTACACAACTTCGGTTCAACACACACGCCTGCAATGAAGTGTCGGTCCCCGCACTAACCTACAATCCCGTCTGTGACTCTTTCCACCAACAACGACGTCTTCCATTGAGCAGTGCCAACAGTAACTCACGTGCATATATTCCCGGCAAGCCACACCGGAGGGCAATAGCCCCATCAGCGGAGCCATTGCTAGGGGCAGCATGGCCGTGACGTAGATGGGGATAACTTCGGTTATCCAGTATCCTGCCATCAGCAGCAGGGCGTAGGCCCCCTTCGACACCTGCAATAGATATTCACTTGGTTATTGCAATGTCTTCCTCGCGCTCAAATTCCATTCCTAATCAAACATGACCACAGTATTCTACACGCCTACGCTCAAGTCTTCACCTCGCACCTCCTAGTCACTGTCAACTTCCACAATAACCAACCCTCACCACTTGGGCATGTCACCTCGCCCCTGCGTCTGCTCTCTTAGCGACGACTGCAAGCAGTGTGCGGCATAGTCCTTCCAACTGATGCCGCGGATACGCGTGCAATGACCAACTGCACTTGACGCCAGCAATGCCAACCAGTACCACCAACCAGTAACACGTTACTTACCGAGCCCGGATAAGCCACCAACAGAGGACATAGTAAAATAGGATATAAAACCGCAAATAGCAGGCTTCTGTATTTCACTGTCCACTTCAGCCATGTCGGTAGTTCCATTTTGTCACTTATCTGAAAACAGTCGAAAATAGGCGCTTGTCAACACTGATTCTTCCAAGCATAACAAATGCTTCAACATCAACTCAAGTCAAGTCCAAAGCATCTCGTGATGTCTTCGTGTCGATGAAGATGACCCACAGACAGCTTGCACTGTTTGCCTAGTTGACTCTACTTTCCTCCTCCATCTCCCTTCTTTATCCGTCAATAATTTGTTGGAGACTTGAAAGCCAACTAACCCCAGACATTGCAATTTGTCGAAGTGTAGTACTTGCTTTCCACAATGAAGTTTACCATCACAAGTGGACACACGCACAAGCACACACGCACACGCACGCACGCAGGCAGGCAGGCATGCATGCATGTGCACCGCAAGTCCAAGTTCTCATCCAAACCAGCATTACACGAAGGAATCCGGTCTCACGCAAGACAGATCTGTACTCATGCATTAGTGGCGTCTAGTCGCCGTCGAAAACGTCACATCTACGCAACCCAAGGCCCGTTTGATCGTGAGTCTAATTCCCTGTCAATTACTTCAGCAGCCCAATTGATAACCGAAAATGCAAGAAATAAAAGATAAAGAAAACATCAAGGCAAACCACGGCAACTCACGTCCACAGAGCACAGACAAACCGCATTGACGTGGTCGTTGGATGGCCTTTCTTAAGTAATGAGCTCGAACCAATGGCTTGACAGTGTGTCACAATGTCGGAGCCAACCAATGCGCACCAAGTTGTGCGCATTCACATCTCAACCAATGAGCAGGTAGGTGCTCGCAAGCGCTTGCGACGCGTTGTATGCCCGAGATGTGCCTCTTTCCGAACGCCTAGCCTGTCACCCCGGGACACCCTATTTATCGTCGTCGTCTCTGCAGATTCTTGCCAACATCTACTCGTCCATCCACTCACCCACCCACTTTACTACCACCTCGACGAGGAGTGCAATCCTGGTGGTGCGTTTGTATGGTTGGGGTGTAACAGATCATGCATGGCACTGCACTAACCCTTGGGCATTTGTTGAGTCATGTTGGTGCTTTTGGATACCAAATAAAAGTTGGAATTGCCAGTAATAAGCTCTTGTCAGTAGTCTTGCCAAGATGGTACTAGATGGAGCTAGATGTAACCGCAAGATGGCACCGTTCTAGCGGGAGGTGATGCAACGGCTGTAGGACTTCCAGTGCGCAATGCCAGCTGGCACAGCGGTCAATTCAACAAGGGTCCTTTGTCCCGGTGGTCAATTGGGCAGGTCTTAGTTGGATGTGCTAGTCACCAGTGCTATTCTTAGTTCGCGACTTCGACATTTCATTCACCTGCGAAAGTAACCTAAGCAGTACAAGCAGCAGCAGCTGCTGCCGCCGCCGCAGCCGCAGCGCTCAGACACAGTCTCGGCTACTTTGCTTTAATTCAATGCTGTCGTTGCCAGTTGTCTAGGTCGTGCGACTAGTCGTTCAATGGAACCCCACGAGGAGGAGATAGAGGACGTGAGTGTACGAGAATGTGAGTTACCGTGTGAATGATTGTGATTCAGAGCAGCAAAGTGATCGAGCACGCATTTGACGACACCCTAGGTCCAGCATCAAGGTATTTCTGTGAGTAGACGTGAAGGCTGCCAAGGTGCATCACAAATGCCAGCACACGCATAGAGGATGAAGATCGTGAATTTACGTGATGGTGGTGATGGAGGTGGAGGAAGAGGAGGCGGATGCGAAAATCTGAATTAAATGTGCGCGAGTCACTACAAAGGGCTGCACCATGTGCATCGTCACACAAGCCGTGCTCCGGTAGGCCCCTTACTCTACCCTAGCCCTAGGCAGTTCTTCACTATTTGCCAAATCGGCTGTGAGGCCAATGACGCGTTCATGTGAACACTGAGGATTCACTCGCACGCCTCAGTCGCATACGTGCGAACGACACGTCCTTGTGCCCAATGTATCAGTCAGTTGTTGAGATCACATCAGCAGTCGGCAGTTAGCACCATGGTTGATGTTCGGGCCTCGCTTAATCAGACGCCTTAGTCACGCCAGTCCCGGGCTTTGTGTTAAAAGTAGACCCCAGTCTGCGTGTATGCCCAAATTCAGTGCATGATTCATTAGTAGTGCTGAGGAGGGTAAGAAGCACAGCAGGTGTACGCTGCCACTGTCCTTTATTGGCGAAGGGACAAGTGAAGTCGATCAACCACCTCCTCCTACTCCTAGACAGCGTGTGTGTGTGTGTGTGTGTGCGAGTGCTTGATCGTAGCACAGACAAACCAACTTGGCCGGATCACAGCTGGGTGCCAAATCCGCCTGCGATACAGCTACCCTAGTCGATAGTAATGGTTAGCCACTAGGTTAACCCGTATTAAGGAGAAGGGTACGAGGAGGAGGAGGCGGAGGAGGGAGAGAAAAATGCAAAGACGGGGCTTTAGACAGAAAAGACGGTCAACGTAGTTACCGGTGGGTGAGAAACGGGTGATGCTCAAACACCTGGTGACGACAAAAATGA